TCACAGAGTAATGTACTTCACATTTTTATATGAAAACAAGTACAACCACACAAAGGTGATCCTGATGAATGTGCATATTGTGCACTCTTGGAGATGTTTGGCTAAAATACTTTTTGTCAACAGTAAGAAGGAATTGAAGTGTTCTTTTATGAGAATTAGATTATCAGATTTCAATAGTTTTATTCTGTGCCTGTAGAGAAATAGACACTATGCTTTAATTGACTTTTTAAATTTTTTTCTGTTGTCAAATATTACACAGCAGTCCTGTGTAGTTAAAATGACCTATCTGTTTCTTTTGTCTCCCTGTACCCATGCCATTCCACCTGCATACCAACTGTTTATAGCTATTGGGGAAAATTATGTGTAAGATGTAAGAAGAGGACCCTGACAAGTGGCTGCTGCCTGATCAACACATGCAGAAAGATCCTCTAGCCCACATGGACCTCTAAAATGTCTTCTTGATTTTTGACTTTTGACTTTTGAAGTAGAATTTCAATTGCAATCCCACTTTTTCTGCACAGTTTATGGAAGAATTTGTATTTAATACTTAAGAATTTTTAATAAACAAAATTTAAAACAACAACAACAACAAAAGCAGTTCAAATCCAGACTACATGATTTTGTGGGATGTCAATAGGACCTTGTGTTAGTCTGCCATTGGTACCAAAAGCAAGATCAAAAGTCAGGTCTGACCCTATGTCTGTTATTTCATCATACACAATTAAAGCTGTAAAATTTCAACAGCAAAATTTAATTGGCTTAATGTTTGGTGATTTTTTTTGTATGATAGCCATGGGATTTTGCTTAAAAGTATGTAGTCTATTAGTCAAAGCTATAATTCAACAAAGTATGTTATGCCATGTAAAGAATAAATCTTCACCTAGAACCATATTTTATTAAATACAACCATTAGGTACATAGCACTTGGCATGTGATCAATGTGGCTAAGCAATGGAATTTAAAAAAAACTGATTTACTTTTAATTAGTTTAAATGTAGATATGTGAATATGACTACTGCCTTGCTCAGCCCAGGCTTCCCTTCCCTTCCCTCCCCTCCCCTCCCCTCCCTTCCCCTCTCCTGCCCTGTCCTCCCCTCCGCTGCCCTTTCATCCCCCTGCCCTGCCCTGTCATCCCCTCCCCTTCCCTCCCCCCCTTTCCTTTTCCTTCTTTCCACTCTTCTCCATCAACCATCAGAGTATGAATCCCATTTGAGGGAAGCAGAAGACTGTGAATATTGATTTATTTAGCACAAAGAATCTAAACCTCAACTATATTTCATAATCATTTCTAGCATTAAAATATTTGGGTATTGTACATCTCTGAAGAATTCAATTTAGAACATTCCCTAAGTGATTTCACAGTATAGCTAGGATTGAGAATTACTGGCAACACAATCTGATATGTAAATTAGACTAGGGTTAGGATAGAAACTTAAATACAGGGTTAGGATAGAGCAGCAGCATCTGTAGGCATTGGTATAATTGACAAAAAGCAGCAGCTGAGGTTTGGTCTCTAACACATGCTTAACTTCTGAACTGAACTTTGACAGTTTGGCATGTTTGTTGACTCAAAGCAAATCTCAGTATTAGGAAGACCCGACAGACAAATACAGACCAAAGATGGGAATAACTGAAAAATGAAATGTTAAAATGCCTTAATTTTCAAACCATCATTTGATGGCCAATCATCATTTCTAGACATTCCTTTAGCTACGATATCTTATAAGAACTCAACTATGGACAGAGGAGGGAATAAACAAGTTTGGGTGCTATTCATGAAAGAGTTTCCTTGAAAACTTCTTTCTACTGTTGTATTGCAGCTAGTAATTTAAAGCACAGAAGAGTAACAGAAAGTTTAAAACAACAGCCAAAAACTTGTTATATTATGAGAAAGAGGGGGGATTTTTGTAATGTAAATCTAAGCTATCAATAGAAGAAGGAAAAGTGAATCAACTGCATATTTCAAGAAGTAATATGGGGGATATTAAGATGGCTTAGTGGTTAAGAGCACTGGATCCTGTTGCAGAGGACCCAGGTTAGATTCCCAGCACCCACATGGTGGGCTAACAACCATCTGTAACTCCAGTTCTAGGAGAATCCAACACTCTCTCTGACCTCCAGTAGTATTCATGATACAGGTGTACTTACTTGCATACATGTAGCCAATACATTCATACACATAAAAAATTTTAAAAAAGAATTAATATGATAAGATCTTTGTTATGTTACTGCAGTAGAAAGAGGCTTTAATATCCAGCTAGACATTGTGGATGTACACTGAGATTTTTCTTTCTGAGTAATAATCCCTCGGAAATAAGAGTTACCTTATTTGCAATTCCTTTCAGATATTGTATTACAAGTTGCTCTATTTACAACAGGAAAAATGCATTAGCTTGAAATACTCAGAACCAATTCCTGTTTTAGATGTCAGTAAAGGAGAAGTCATAAGAGAAGAAAGAGGAGGCAATGACATTAAGTGTAGATTTTTGTCTTTTTCTCAAGGATTTGGCCTCTCAATTGTAGATGTCAATTGTAAACACGACTCTTAAAGATTTGTTAAAAAGTGGAGCTTATTACTATAACCATTTGATGAATTAGCAACAATAGGTATTCTGATGTTATAAAACTCACGGCTGTTCATCGTGACAAAGTTCTCATTGATAGCATTTTACACTTTCAAAAAATACTACTACTGGGCTATGGAGAAAGGTCAGTAGGTAAAGTGCTTCCCTTGTCTGAGTTTGGTCTCTAGAATCCACCTGAAAAATCCTGGTGTGGTGTTGTATTGCTTGTAATCCCAGTGGTGGAAAGGCAGACAGAAGCAGAGTTGTAGGGCTCACTGTCCAGCCGGCCTAGGCTAGTCATTGAGGTCTAGGCCAATGAGAAACATGTCTAATAAAAGTTGATGGCACCCCTGAGGCTGTTCTCTAGACTCCATATAAACCCACCCAATGTGTATATGTATACATGGACAAGCACATACATACATATATATACACATGCAAAGTGAACTACCAAGGCAGATAGATATAGTAAATGAAAGGGTAGAAGAAAAGGAATATTGATAAATTAATATATATTTACATTTGCTAATATATTACACATACACATTAAAAATGCAAACAGATTTGTATAACTATATAATATACAAGAAAATTCTATTCAAGTGGTACCTGTTACAAAAACTTCAGAGGACAAAACTGTGAATGAGAGAGGAGGTAGTGTATGTAGAGTCTGGCACTATTTGTGGTTAGGGTCTTTCATTGGTTCTCTTCGAATGCATGCCTCACAGTTAAGAGGGGACTGCTATACTCAAATGTTTGGAGAAACACCCATTTAGATGTTGCTGTGCGGGTAATATTAAGAAGTCAGTATTAAAACTTCTAGACACTTATTGAAGCAGATTACTGTCCATATTCTAAGAGAGGTTCCAGTCACTCTGTTGGAGGCCTTAAGACAAAGCATGAAACATCCTGAAGGAGAGGCAGTTCTACCTTTAGACATGGGCTATAAGGAAATACTTCCTTGGACACGTAGCTCCCCAGCCTGCCCATGCAGATTTCAGACCCGTCTTCCTCCACAACTACTCCAAACAAAATTCATCTGTTCCAACATACCAACTGCCTTTTCCACTCATTGATGCATAGTAATTGTCTCCTACCATTTATGCATACTTTGCTCATTGGTTTTTATGTTTGTTCAATTCCTGTACAGTCTATACAAATGAGGGCAGGGACTTTTATCTGCCTCCTCTCTCCCTAATGATGGGAAAGGAACGTACAATATAAATCTTTTGAGTTAATTAATTAGGTATATAACCAAAAGTATATTGTGTATTAAAATTTCAAACAAACTAGAGAATTCATTTCCAATGAGAGTGTATGAAAGAGGGAAAAATGCCATCAGTTTGAAAAATGCAGTGCATATGCATTTCAAGTGGGCTGGACATATTTATTACTTTATTTGGTCAGTTTTTTAAAATTATTTTTTATGTGTATGAGTGTATAACTGCACATACGAAAGTGTACCCATGTCATGCATTGCCCACGTCAGATCCCCTGGAACTGGAGTTATGGACAGTTGTTAGCCTCTATGTGGGTGCTGGGAACTGAAAGAGCAGCCAGTGCTCTTAAACTCTGAGTCATCTCTCCAGTCCCTACTTAGTCAAATTTTAATAGTTAAAATAAAACAAATTTAGAATTTTCTTATTGTTATCTACGTTTCATAAGAATTGCAGATGTTTATATTATGCTAAATACATAGCATATAAGAAGTATTTTCTATCCTGTACAAGTAATGTTTATTTAAAGATGTATTCCTAAATATGTATTACCTTTAATGGACTCACTATTTCATCCAATGTAAAAATATTAGATGATACTGGGAAATTTTAATGATGTTATTAGATGTTTGCTTGAATTGTACCAAGTAGTTTTCTTATTGCTAGAAAAGTTTATTTTTTAACCAAAGTGTTTTTTTTTTTATCCAATTAGAAACCCAAAGTAATTAATGAAGTCCGTATTTCCCTTCCTTTCAGGCAGGCATAAATACAGTTTCTTAATGAATTTCAGGATTCAGGTCCAATTTATGAGAATGAAGTCATTAAATTCTCCAAAATGATATAGTATTCTCCAAATACATAAAATTAAAAGTAATGACTATAACATTCTATTACTAGAAACTTGAAATTATTCAATCTATAAGTAAGACAGCTACAGAAATGAAGGGACATAGTCGCTAATGATCAGATGACTGAGGAGAAGGCAGGAAACTATTTTTCAAATAGATTAAAACTGTTTATTTTATTAAAAAGTTGACATAGGTTACCGTTAGTGTTTATGACTTGCAAACTAAAGTATTTAATATTTAACATGTTTAAATACAAGCAGCAGCAGTTTAGCAATCAAAAGGAATAATTTGAATCATCTCAGGAAAATAAATTCATTATAATTAGGATATTTCAGAGCATGTTTAAAACATTTCAGAGAAAATATATTCACCTTTCTTGTCATCAAAGTACAGAGTCTGTTGAGCTGGATTTGACCACTGGAGGGAGGTGTTATCATTTTGATCAACCCTGCAGGTCAAAATTGCAGTTCCGCCTTCAACAACTGTTACATTCTGTGTTAATGGAAACTGCCCTTGGCTGCCTAAAAGGAGATTAAAGAGAATGTTAATTAAACCAGAGTTATAAAATGATTAACTTCCCTAGATCTACATTGGAACTTCATGTCTTATAAATAAAATTCAAACCAACAATAATATATATTCAAAAAGACAGAGAAGTAATTGAAAATCCTTAATCAGAAGACAATCCTATTGATGCACCATTAGGGATATTTATATTCCCTTCTATTTTCCAAAGTACCTATGCAGTCTAGCTACACATGAAGACTTATATTCAAATAATAGCATGATACCCATTAATTTCCCTTGGTCTTGTATTAATTCTTTGGTGCTGGATGGAGCCATTCCTGAAGAGAGCTAGGAGCACAAGAAGCACATAAAACACTTCCCTTGTACCTTTTAGAACACAAAGTGTGAGATACATAGAAACTACGGTGCCTTTCTGATAAAGGAAATGAAAAATGAATTCCCTTTTACCTGGACTTCCTAAAGATATAGATTTTTGACATATAAAACATATTGGAGAAAACACTACCTCTTCTTTAAAAGATGTTCATCCTATAGAATATCCATTAGAATATTACAAAAGGCTCAATGTAGTGATGTCTACTTGTAGAATCAGCCACTCAAGAGACTGAGGTGGAAGGCCTTTTGGAGCCCAGGAGGTTGAGACCCGTTTGGTTGACAACAGCGAGTTTTTTGTCTGCAAAATAACAGTAACAACCACACACACACACACACACACACACACACCTAAACTAAGGGGGAGACAGTATTTCTGCATCAAATCTGTTAAGTATACTTGTAGGTTTATCACATACGGTATTTATCAAATTATGATATTCCCTCTAGTCAGTGTGCTGAGAGTTTACACAACAGATAGATGGTTGGAAGCATAATATACTATTTTCTGTTTACTCTCATAACGTACTTTTCCTTCCCAGAATCTCTGCCCTCAGTGCAGTTGCTACAGGGCTGACATGAGGCTTGTTGGCTGGATGAAGCCTGCATCTGTAATCCCAGCACTCCTGTGGTGGAAGCAGAGACAAGGTAATCATCTGGAAACTTGCTGGCCCGCTAGCTTGAAGTATGCAGCACAGCAGCAGCAATGAGTCTCAGTAAGGTAGGAGAGAACTGACTCCTGAAAGCTGTCCTCTGACCTCCGCATGCATCACACACACACACACACACACACACACACACACACACACACACACTGAATATACACATTCTCTCAGGAGATATCTTGTAGTTGCCTTGCTAATACTGCGAATAGTTTTTGTTTATAATCAGAAATATGTCCTTGTAAATTTTTAAATGACTCTTGTCATTTTTTGGATATCATCTGTTTAAAATAACATTTAAAAAAATTCTTATGTATTATATTAATTATCAATGTACCCTGCAATACATTTACTTAATGAGTGTACTTCTAATAATTAAAACCAGGCTCATGCCTGCTGAAAACAATACATAAATAATCATACATAATCTGCAGATTAGCTTAGCCAAGACTGACAAACATCTACAGGGGTAAAATTACTTTCTAGAGCTAGGTTAAAATACTATTATGTGAGTAAGGTAATTCATTAATTCAAAGATAATTTACATATACAAGCATATTAGGATGGCATAATAACACCCATGAAATGCATTTACTTTGCTTTAGTTTATAGCTACTGACACTATCATCACTACAAACTCCACCTAAGTTTATGCTGGTGCCATTGTCATAGAGAATGTTATTACCAAGAAACCAGTTGGTCTGTACAATAAATGACCAAAGGGAAACATTTATTTCAAAGCTAAATGACCCAAGCACAGAGGTTTATGACCATATTACATAAATAAATCTATCAAGTATAAAAATCTATTATCAGGATCTTTGTTATGTCAATGCCAGTCACTTAGAGATACTAAGAGAATTCTCCAGGACATCACCCTATAAGGTAACTAATGCATTTTAAAATTGACATTAGAGTTTTGTGGAATATAGTCTTTGATATTAACTTGAAAGTCAACAGAAGCCAGAGTAGTGTGGGTTTTCTCTTCAGTGCAGAGGTGACTTCTAGCATGGAACATGGACCACTATCAATCTTATGACGTGAAGTGGGGCATAAAACAACATCAGAAAAAACATGCCAGTCAGTGAGAAGAAATATTTACCAGGGATAATCAGCTAATAAACAAGAAGCTCATAACTATTTTAAGGTATTTTTCTCAGATCTCCTTGGTGTTGGTGTAATGATAAACTGAGCAATCTAGGGGAGATGCTCTACATAAAATAAAATTCACAAGTGCTAATTAATACTTATGGTTCTATCCAGATGATATTTTGACTATCAATTACTACATAAATAATACCTTCTGTCTCTTTAAAGAAATGAAGGGGGTGGTGATGCTTGCAATTATTTCATCTACTACATTTGAAAAATAATTTTCAAAACACTCCCATAATAATATATTATCCTTCTCATTTCACAGGTGGGTAAACTGACACTGAGAGGTTAAGTGATGTTTTCCCATGGGGAAACAAAGTCAATGAACCATTTGGAGTTTATTCTGAAAGCTCAGCATTTTTATTCTTATTTTTCCACAAAGGCAGTTGGGTCAAAGAGCAGTATTACTATTTGTAATAATTGTGAATTCAACAGCAATGGGGAAAAAATCACTGATAATTTTCATAATAAAATTTAAACTGTAAAATTTGTAAGCGCTGATGTCAGTATTAAATCTCTTGTGCTGTAAGAATATAATTTAGATAATTATATCAAAATCACTGAAAATTATATCAATATCACTGAAAAGAGAGCTTTAGTTTAGTTTTTTTTAAAGGAATTTCTCAATCTTAGGTATTTTCATATTTCAGTACACCTAACTTTGACCCTTCCAATGAGGCGATGAGGACAGTGTCCTTCCAAATCCTCCTCATATGATTTCTGACTTTTGACTTCAGTTTTCTGACACTTTCAGCATAAAATCCTTGTAGTCAAATAATTTAGCTTTTCCCAATAGAGAGCAAATTCATGTGGAGGATCTACTAATCCTGAATACCCTAAAGATATGTGGTTTCTGGAATAAATTTAAAAGTCTGTGTTGCAGGCAGTCAGACTTCTCAGAGGTCTGAATTGCCTTTTACTTCTGGTTATAACCTGGAAAGAACCCTGAGTTGCTGAGACATTTCTCTTTTCACTCTACATGACTCAACTTTGTCTTTCAATCTAAATAAATCTTTCCAAAGATATTTCTCAATTAGAAAAATTAGTCTTGTATCAAATTAATAATTCACCCTCAATTCATTCATTACATGAATATTCATAAATTCATACTACGTGCTTTTCTGTCATGAATCAACATTTGCAGGATAAAGAGAACTTTGATTTTTCCATCAATAAAGATTTCTAAGATGTACCTCTTATATTAACAACTTATTTCATGATGATTTATAATTCTGTGTAAACTCACCAGGATCCTAGTTTTCATACCATGCAAGCGCATGGTGATATTTATGCAATTTCCATTCAGTAAGCTTAGAAACAAATTATTTTTCTGGCAACTTTTGTTCATTTTTTACAACCCTCACCTTGTATCAAATTCCTCTTATTACTTGTTTAACTACTAGTTCCCTCACTTAACTCTAAATTAATTAAGAGTATGGTAACAGGGATATCTTTTTGAATCTGCTGTCTTGCTTGACATACTGAATTTTAAAGGGAAGCTTTCAGTAGGTGTTCATCATCCAAAATAAATCTATTTCTTAGAACTGACTAACATTGGGGGGGATTTGTTACAGCAGAGCGACCAAAAAGTAACTAAGATGTGTTTAATTTGTTCATGGTCAAATCAAAGAGTAAATGTATAGGCTCATACATCACCGAAATAATTGGAAAAATCAAATCATTAATGCCTTATAATATTAGCATAATATTGCAAGATATTTTTAAGGTATTTTTAAAGAATATACTGACTAACATTGGGGGGGATTTGTTACAGCAGAGCGACCAAAAAGTAACTAAGATGTGTTTAATTTGTTCATGGTCAAATCAAAGAGTAAATGTATAGGCTCATACATCACCGAAATAATTGGAAAAATCAAATCATTAATGCCTTATAATATTAGCATAATATTGCAAGATATTTTTAAGGTATTTTTAAAGAATATAGTGTATATAA